TTTCTAAAAGTATTTTTATAAAAACTTTGGTCAAACATTTTACTTTATTTTATAGATCTAAATAATTAGTGAAAAATAATTTTGCCTAAAAATTTTTTTTTTATATAGATTTTTTTTCCAATGACACACTAGTTCAACTAGTAACCCGAGATCCAGTACCTTGTCCGGGTAGATGTCCAAGTCGGGTCTAATAACTATGCCCACGAGATAGTGACAAGGAGAATGAACTGAAATTGGACTAGATTGGATTTGACATTAGATCAAGAACTCCAGAGGTTGGAGCACTCTTCGATCTTTGATGTGAAGGAACAAATATAAATGAGTAGATACTTCCGTAGGCAGGGCATGTTGGAATTTGGAAAGAATGGGAATTTTGGGGGAGATATAATTAGTTTACTAACGACCTTTGGCCATGAATTTTTTGTCTTTGGCTTTATTTTGTTTAAAATATTACTGGCGTGCATGGATGTTGGAATTTCAAAAGAATGTGTATTTTGGGGGAGCTATAGATCATTTACTAATTCGACAGACTCTTTTTGTCTATTGTTTTATTTTGTTCGAAATGTTGCAAGTGTAATGGATTGCTTCCTCTACGAGACTTCCAAGTAAACTTTTACTGAACTTTCTGCTCTTTGCCATTTCCTTTTGTCATGTGATGATAATAAAATAAAAGAAATGTTGTTGCTAACACGTGCGTTTGTTTCTAGGTGACGCCAAATCTGTATGGCAATCTTGTTGCAAATACGGCTGCGGGTATAGCTGGTGGCACTGGAGTTATGCCTGGAGGCAAGTTAATCCTACTTCTAACTTTTGCTTCCTGTATCCATCTTTTTTGGAAAATAGCAACATTTTGCATGAAAAAATTGGTATACATCCCTTTCTGTTTCGTTGGTTTTTTAGATTATGCAACTTTTGTCATTTAGAACATCCAGTTGAATGAATAGTCTTCAAAATTCAGCAATTGTGTAGGCTACAAAGGGCTACACTTAGTCACTTACTACGCGACATTTTGTGACAGGTAATGGAATGCCTTTCCAGTACCTTTCCACATCTATAATAACGCATTGCTAGGTAACTTTGAATAACTGCAGCTTACAACTTGGCTTAACATTCTTGTGAAGCTATGACATACCAGATGCCACGCCGTTGTTTCTTTGAGTTATTTGTCCTCACTTGCAATTTCAGTAATACTTTGAAGAGGAATTTCTGTGAGTCGTTAATTGTACATTAGTTTAATTTAATCTGCTCTTAGATCTTTCTGGCACTATCATTTAATATATAATATAGGTCTGCGATATATCGTCAAAAATTCAAGATAAAGTTTTCCTCAAGTTAATAGGTCCTAGCCTACTGAAAGTCTTCTCATCAGTCCAGAAACCATTTGGATTCCATTATTTTAGGATTTGGAATATCATAGATTGATCAATTAATGAGACAACAACTTAAGAAATGTCTGTACTCTGGGTTTCTGTCTTTGCATGTGACTAACGTCACTGCCTAAAGAAAGACGGCAAGTCTTTGATAATGACCGTATAATTATTCTGAGGTCATTCATGCTAGGTTACTAACTATAAAGGCATGGTTTTAAGAAACGACTGTCATTCTATATTTAGTACTTGGAAAGTCTATTATATTTTCGATTCTGTGTGACACCAAAGGACGTGGTTTTTGCAGGGAATGTTGGGGCTGATTATGCTGTTTTTGAGCAAGGTGCTTCAGCTGGGAATGTGGGAAACCCGAATTTGGTGGAACAAAAGAGGGCAAACCCAATTGCTCTTCTTCTCTCCTCTGCTATGATGCTGAGACATCTCCAATTTCCATCGTTTGCTGATCGTTTAGAGACTTCCGTAAAACATGTTATCGCAGAGGGAAAATACCGGACAAAAGACCTTGGTGGAGATAGCACCACTC